TTGGAAGGTCTTACCCTGCCAGCTGGCGAGGAGAATGCTGCCCAATTGTTTGGCAAAGCTTTACGGCAAAACTTTGAGGTTGGGGGTGCAAAAAATTGTGCTCTACTTTGTGCATTTTTAATAAAGGCCTTTATGTGAAAGGACCACGAGCTAGGGCACGATCTTTTTGCACGCCACACTTCAATGTTTTTGAATTAAGATTTTTGGTGGGAGGTTTGAAGGTGGAGATCGAGACATTAAATTTGTGGTTTAGAGGGTGCAATTTTCGTGCAAAAATTTGTGGTCCAGATTTGATGGTCCAGGTTGTGGTCCAGACCAGATTAAGATTGTGGTCCAGGCTTGGAAGGTATTACCCTGCCAGCTGGCAAGGAGAATGCTGCCCAATTTTCTGGAGCACGACTTTTTGCACGAAGAATGCACGATTTGGAGCACAATCTGGAGCACGATTTTTTGCACGAAGAATGCACGATTTGGGGCACAATCTGGAGCACGATTTTTTGCACCAAGAATGCAGGATTTGGAGCACAATCTGGAGCATGATTTTTTGCGCGAAGAAACACATGAACAAACAGGTTTCCAAGCGTTCCAAAAACACATGAACATTGCCGCTGACCAATGTCCTGGCTGCCCTCAAATCTTCAAATGAAAAACACGTGAATCCATGGTGCAATTTCTGGATGGCTGCTAAGTAAAGAAACCTTTTGTTGACTGTTACTGGGGAAGGGAGAGACTCAAGGTATCGCACTTACACTTCAGTGGAATCTCTCTACACCACACGGTCTCGGATGTGATGTTGTTCTTCGATGTGAATGTCCCCTAGAAACATTCTGTACCAAGAAAGCGCATCCATGGCCAAGACTCTTCCGGTGCAGGTACTCTCGGCGAAATCCACCCAGGTGTGTGAGCTGGCTAGACCTGATTGCGGGCTCTTAAAGTAAACCGAAGAATTGTCGGCGGAAAAACGAACAAAGTACTGTATATAATTCAAAAAAGGAAGAAGGAAATACCTTACTAGGTAAGGGTCTACTAAAGCCTTGCACAAGCCACCGGTCCCAAAGGGGCCACCATTGATTGCAGCGCAGCTACCGGATACCCCGCTCTTCCCCAAGAAAGTCAGGAGGAAGGCTGCTGGACCGGGCTGTTGCTTCTGGCTCACCTGAGTGAGGAAAACATAACGACCGGCCGTCTTGACAGCAAGCCAGCGGAAACCTGATCTATACTATATAATTAGTATGTCGTTTATATGAAAAGAACATACAGTGTGTATATATGTATATGTACATACATATGTTCATACTACTGTATGTATGTCCTGCTGTTCTTTCCCGCAAACAACTTGCAGATCGGTCTACGGTGTCGTGGACAAAGATACGGCTAAAAACTTTCACACATCTGAGCGGAAGAGGGTGTAGCTTTTCGTGCACCTGTGGGCGACACCTACGTAACAGTTTGGGTGGACTTGCCACAAGTACAGCGTCAGCTTCCAACGCCTGAAGGACTTGAAGGAAGCTGCAGGTTCTAAGGATGCAAAAAGGAATTGTTCTTGATTCATGTGTTTCATCGTCTGAGATCAAAGCCTCTCTGTTTCTGCTGGTAGCGCTCAATGTCTCTCTGATAATCCTGACACAGTCACGAGTTCAATCTGCTCTGATGAGTAGACGTTGTTTCTTCGTTCCTCATAATTCTCGCCAGTTCCGGGCCGCTGCATGGCAAGAGTCTGTGAAAGGCTTGGGGTCAACAAAGCAGACAACAGTGAAATGTTCAAAAGTGTGCAGGTTCAGGTGTGAGAATGCACTTAGCCGCTAGTGTACTGCGCATGTGTCACAACTGTCACAAAGCTAGGATTCCGATTGACATGAACCCCCCTGAGCAGCTATGGCTCAATCAATCTTTGAACAGGGCGGCCGTGATCCAGACTAAAAAGCTGAGGTTGCTGTCTCGTGCAACTTGTCAAATGGTGTCGCCCTCAATGCTTCTGAAAGCCCAGAGTTTTTCAGTTATTCCATCATTAATGACACACCTAAAATGAGACCTTTTGAATGCAGCTGCAACAGGTTTTCATTCTTCGCACTTCTCCACCATCTGTGACACTGTACTGTGTTGGGTTTCTGCACCTCAGTTTCAACCCGGGGCGAGTTTCGTCACATGGACATGAAAACCTGCTTGAAACGAGGAACTAAAGTCTTGCTCAAATCTAGGAAATGGCGAGCAAAATGTGTAAGATCATCCAAAATGAAGAATGTGAATTAATAAATTTCCCAAGTCGAATAGCCCCGGATCACATAGATGGGTTGGTTCCTCAAGCGCCCGACTGATCTCGCATTTCAAACTCTTGTAAATCCTGAGGCGCAGCAACAGCAAAACAGCCGTTGCACGTTGCATGCAAGCGTGCAAATTCATGCCATTTGCGCCGTGTGAAGTCCATGCACCGCTGCTCAGCAAATGACAAAGCTGAAAAACGGGTGGTGTGCATTGCACATGAAAAAGACTACGCGGAGTCCCTGTTGCTTTTACACTGCCTGCTGTGCACAATGTTTCTCTTTCATGACAAGCATTGGTTCGGCACCCCCTTCAAGTCCCAGAACGACATTAGAGGCCCGGACAACTGCAGGTGCTGCGTGCTTAGACGGCGCGATCCTGCAGTATGACGCAAATACAACCCAGGATTGGTTCAGGCCCCTGCGAAAGTCCTCGTTTATCTACTGAATGCCAAGGTTGTCCCTGCTCAATGCGCCACGCAATCTCAATGCGCCACGCAATCTCAAAAGCCACGGTTATAATAACCAACGGTTATAAACAAAATAGGCAAAACACATACAATAGATGTGGATTCTGATAGTGAGCAGTGAGCCGCGAGTACCCTGGCCATGTCGGGCGCGCACGCCGCCTCCTGGCACCGAAAGAGGTTGGAAATGGATATGAATCCCATGTTCCGGGTTGCGAAGAGAGCAGAGGTGGAGCCGCCTCGGATTAGTTCGTTGGCGACGAGTTTTGGAATCTTCTTCGACTTCCACGAAGGCTGCGCCCGCTAAGCCAAAAGAGTTGGCCCGGGTCTACGGAGGATGGAAAGGCGGGAGGAAAGGTTGCAACAGTTGGTAGATGAAGCAAAGCAGACAGCGCGCCGCCTGCAAGCGTGTGGAGCACCGAGGATGTCCGGAAGGAAAAGGATGAACCAAGGACGAGGCCTATTTCTGCGGTTGCCTCGAGGTAGACCAGGCCAAGCAGGTGAACAGCCAAAACTTCAATGACGAGGCATTCCTGAACCGGTTGAATGGTCAATGGTCGCCCACTCTTCTGGCAAGTCTTCCATGTCCTTGATCCCGGCGTAGCACTCCCGTAAGACGCATGGAATAGGGCCAAGCCCGTGAGCGCCCCCACCAAGAACACAGGGCTGCAAATTGCGCTGGTCAACTCCGCGCGAAGCGGCGCCAGTAGCCTTCCAACGAACCCGAAGGTCGCCAACTAAAAGAAGATGAAAGTTACCCATGAGCTCGTCGCCCCCGAGAAGTGCAACCACGAGAAAACATTGCGACAACCAACACCCATGTTTGGATAGTCTGGATAAGTCGTTGAAGGAAGAACGCGTCAAGGGGAAGATGACTCCGAAGATCGAGGACATGCAAGGCTCTGCAAGGTGAAGCAGGAGGACATTGGTCCAATGGGCGATCCGACAGGCTTTGAAGTGGAGAAGGAACGGCAACGCTTTTACACTTTGCGGAGCCTGTCTAGAACCCCGAGACAAGACCACTGCGGGCAGCCATGAACTACGCAGCCGAGATTATGAGCCTTCTTACACGAGGATTGACCTTGAGCTGCGAAGATAGAGGTTGCTCGCTTACGGTTCAACGAACTGTGCCGAGATGGTTAAAGGGACCACCAAGATGCGGAGGCTCCCGCTGGCTCAGTTTTCTTTTGGCAGAGATCACTGTCTGAGTCTACAATGAATTTGGCGTGGAGCTTCCTGATGGGGAGAACGCTTTTCGTTGCTGCCACAGGTTCTGGTACTCTTGACGGCAACCTCACCAAACTCGCGAACATGCGGCCCATACCGATGACAAAGAACAGTGATCGACCTGATGTTCCTCAAGAATGACATGAACACGGTGAGACGGGTCGCTGGAGCGACTTTTTAAAATTTTCGTGGCCCACAGCCGGATCGCTTGGAGAGCTGAGACTGATTTCCCTCACCACACCGGCCAGAGTTTGCCGACCAATGCACCGAGACAAACATTTGAGAAGAAACTAGTTGCATCTCAAGGTCGCGACAAGTCCGCCTCCATTCTTGTCGGTCGCGTACTCAAGCAGTCAACCGGTAAGGTCCTCTTGCAGCCTTAAACTGCTCACAATAGCAGCTGCGTGTTCTCGCCAACAATGCGAGAGTACAAACTGGATCCCCGCCAAAGGCGAAAGAGTCCACCAAACCCAACGGAAAGCGTGCAAGGTTTGAGTGTAAGCCTGCAGCTCTCACAAGCTCCGCTCTGCCACGGTCATGGGCTCCTTGCCAAGGTGCCCGAAGCCAAGCAGCTTGCTCCCCCGCCGCCATAAGGCACGCACTGCCTTCCAAAGAGTGAAGATCTCTAGTGGCTTGGTGGCACCATGCGCCTTCGTACCATTGAGCCTCTTTCCCCAAGAAAGACAGCACATGTGCTGCAGCTCTGCGAACACGCAGCAGCGAAGCAGCCCAAAGGACAGATAACATGGAAGACGATGTGCACCACCCAAGCAGAAGTAACAGGGGGGCCGCAGGAAAACGCACTCCACCACCCCAAAGCATGCATCAAGTCCACCTCACCATCTCACTCAACTGCTGAGAGAGGCCAAATCTTTTAGGAAACGGCAAACCCTCCCTGTAAAATGCAGGAGGCCACCAAGGTAGCGGCCCGATTCCACCACAAGAATGGACTCTGAAACATCACAGGCATTGCCTGGAGCCACGCACAAATCGATAAGTGTGCATGAGTCGCTCACTGCTCAATGTCGGGCAGCGGCCCGGCGTCATGCAGAAAAACAGTTGTCGTTTTTCTCCGCTATTTAAAATGGAAATATAAGAATAATGCTAGCACTAACGATAATAGAAATTGTGTATGTATATACATATATATATATATACATTTTATGTATGTATGTCTGTCTGTCTCTGTCTCTGTCTCTGTCTCTGTCTCTGTCTCTGTCTCGGTCTCGGTCTCGGTCTCGGTCTCTGTCTGTACGTCTGTCTGTCTGTCTGTCTGTCTGTCTGTTTGTCTGTATGTATGTATGTATGTAGGTGTGTATGTATGTGTATGTATGTGCATGTGTGTGTCTGTATGTGAATGTGTGTATGTATGTGTATGTGTGTATGTATGTGTGTGTCTGCATGTGTCTGCATGTGTCTGCATGTGTATGTACGTGTATGTACGTGTACGTATGTGTATGTGTGCGTGTGTATGTGTATGTATGTGTATGTATGTGTATGTATGTGTATGTATGCGTATGTATGCGTATGTATGTGTATGTATGTGTATGTATGTGTATGTATGTGTATGTA